TTCGCGATGCTTTCGGGAATAAAACACGTGAACACAAAACACTTTGGACAACACGGCAACTGCAGTACAGCTAAGCTGCATGCAGTTTGTAACTCCTAAATCCGAACTACATCCTTCTGAGCTCCCCCTGCTACTGTGCCTGCACTCTCTTCTTCTTCCACAGGGCATAGGGAGCGTCTTAAGCCGCCTGGCCTCTAGGGCCCCCAAATTTGAAGGGACTGTGACAAGTCTCTCTCTCTCTCGCTGCCTCTGCCGTTGCATCCAGAGGGTCTAGCAGCTGCTGCTGCGGATTAGCGGAGCTACGATTGCTACGTCTACTGAGCAGCCATTGCCTCTTGACCGCGCCGCAACAGTTCGCGAATTTAAGTCCTGTGCACAAAAGTCGTCTGGCTGCCGCCGTGTTTCGACTCTGCTCGGACTTCCGGAGTGAAGCAACAAGGTCCCAGATTTGTAGGTTTTGAGAGTTCGAACCTGGCCTTCCCGCCATCAAAGCCCTGAGTCCCTGAATTTTTTGCCGCCGAAACCTTTCGGAAAACGATGCCGAACGAGCGGCATGGCCGTGTAGGTCGATGGAAAGGAGGAGTCGTGCATCCTGGCAGCGTTCGAGCGGTCTAAGTGGCGTCCGGTGAGAATGATGATGATGATGGTGATGGTGATGATGAAGATGATGATGGTGGTGATCATGATAGTTAATGATGATGCAGCTTCTGTTTGCTGCTTCTACCATGTATGTCTCGGACACGAGCTTGCCAAGGGCCTCCGTCAGTGCCAGCACCGCGACGTCCTCCCGATTCTCGGGCGCCAGAGTCACCGATCGACCCTTCGGCTTCAGGGCTTTTAGGGTTTTTCCCCCTCGCAATGCAGAGAACTATGCTCACAGATCTCAGGGTTTAGGGTTTTTGCTCAGCACTCGCCGCTGGGACAAGCCGGGCGAGGTCAGCGGGTACGTGTGTTTTTTTTTGAGATCAGGGTTGGGGTGGGCACTCTTAGAGTCGGACCCAGCGAAGCTTCGACAATCACCGTCGTAGAAGGCAGGTACGGCTTCACAACGACTGGTCCAACTACACCAGCAAAGGCAGAACGGGTAATCAGCTTGAGCCCAAACACAGTCAGAAGAAATGTCATCCTCTTCTCTCGTCACGCTGAAGATCATTCTCACCAAATGGCACAGTGTGACAGTTGCACTATACAGTATGGTAGAACGCTATAAGTCGCCAGAGCACGAAAAGCTCATGGCTCAGGGCGCTTTAACTTAAATCCTGAACCCAAACTTCCGAAAGGGAGCCTATCCTCCAAACCGCACTGTCACCGCACCTCGACATGATACCAAGAACCAGAAGCTGAAGAGCGAAACTCAGGAACTCTAGCTGGCCCCACCCGCTCCTCTCACCAATGACAAAAACCTGAAAGGAACCCTCCAGCCCCTTGTGCGCTCAATTCTGAAGAGCAGTTTCGAACTGAGGGTCTCCTGAAGCGACCCAGCGCCTCTACGGTTTAGGGCTTATTATCTTATTATAGGGTGTATAGGTGTATAGGTCAGGGCTATAGAGGATATTTTTGCAATGCTCTTCGGTCTCGTCTTTGAATCTGATGATGACAAAGTTAGCTGAGCAACAGCACCTGGCGAAGCTTGCGGTGCGCAACATGAAAGAAGCATTTGCATCGGTGCAATGTATCTCATGGACCGTAGTTCTCTAAACTAGGGTCCTCTGGGGCCCCTTTTTACGTCCCCAATCTAGTACGACACCCTTCTAAAAAGCGCCCTAAAAGGGACTCTAATTTAGAGAACTACCCACATGTATAGGGGTTGTTCCAGCTTTGGGTTTCCTGCAAGGTATATTCACAGCCAATCGGCGATACGGGCACGAAACAAGATTTCAGTTCCGAACACTCCTCTTCTGAGCCTCTTATGCAATCTTTGGTTTACGGGCCTAGAATGCTAGCCTTGATCGTGAAAAGTTCTCGTCAGGAGTCCTGCACCAGGTCCACGCCGCTGATGCGATTCCCCACGGGGCTGAGCAAGACATTTCCGTCAGGAGTGAACCTCAGGTGCCCCGACTTCAAGCACAGCGGCCTTTGAACAAGAAAGTAACTGACTCGCTCACACCTGGCCTTCTAAGCACATGGGGCCCAATTATCGTGCGAACATCTCTCAACCGAGAACTTGACACATCTGACAGCCACGGACCCCCTAGCGCAAAACTAGGCCTTTGTTGGCCCTTGAAGTAGGAGCCTCCTCCAGACTTCTCCCCCAAACCCCTTCTTTAAGGACCCAAGCTGTCAAACACTACAAAGTAGGCATGCCTGCGTTTGGGGGTCCTTCAGATGAGGCTCTGGGTAATGAGTGCTTGAGGGCACGTCAGGTCCCTATTCGCCGAAGTACGCAGCGCAAACTCGCGCCAACGTAATTGTGTTCGACTGTCTTTTGTGTGCTGCCGGAGGTAGTCGCGACTATTGAAGAAGACCAGTTACCTTGCACCCAGAAAACAAAAGCCAGGCAAAGGGCTGGATTCCTCCGCCCTTGTAGGTCGTGCCCAGAAGATTGGCGAAGCGATAGGAGCTCATGCTAGGATGCCATGGCGACTGGGAGTTTGTCGGAAGTGAGTGTCCTGTTGAAGCACCGTGGTCATCGTAAATCCCTGCTCAAGTGCCTCAAACCCGAAGTTAGAACAACCCCCCCAACTCACGCACCCTCTATGATTGGATGAGTAATCGGGTTCCAGTTCCGGCACTATACCACCCGCAATCCAGCCTGAAAGCAGCCGGAATGAAATTGCAAACGTGGGCGCGGCATGAGCGTTGAAATCGTGTCTTATCACAAATCACTGTCACTGTCCACAGTGCATGAGGCCGCATGAGGCGTGTTGGGTTGTTGCATCAACGCAATCACAGGACCACAGGAGCCTGCGCACACCGGCGCCGTTTCCAAGGAACCGTCGTCTTTTCTTCAGCCCAAAGGGTTTATGGCATTTATAGCATAGCATAGCCTTGGGCATAGGTGGCTGATCTGAGCAAAGCACGTCGTGTCGTCGCTCAGTAAAACCAAAAAAGTAGCAGCCTCTTCAACCATGTGAGCTTTACTCTGAAGATGCTCGGCCCATCGTCCCAGGACTGGCCTGCCACTCGTGAGCCGTGGCGACGGCATAGGCTGCTTTAAGCAGTCTGTGCCATCTGACCTCACAGCTCGAACATGAATTGCAGGTGGCATTCGAATCGCTCGAGTCAAGCTTAAAGTGTGCTCGGCACAGTTCAGTTTCAATACGGAATGCGGGAACATATGCACATATGTGACCAGCATGTGGATAGATGGGTGGATAGACTGGCCAAGGACAGGTATATGTGCTGTTTGGAAATGTGGAGCCCTGCCTGTCTCAGAAGCCCTTTCGGCACTGTCGAAATCAGACTTGGGCTGCCAGCGGTTTGATGGATTCGCAAGTCGACACTGAGGGCGACAGCCTGGCCGAACCCTGCAAACAACTAAGCACAGTGGCCTACTGGGTTAATTAGGGCCTGGGGGTGTCTAGGGCTTGGGGAGGTGCACTTGCTTGCAGTTTGAGTGCCACAGAAGAATATGGCTAAGTATACAAAGAGGGGAAATCATCTAAGTGAAGCTGCCGCGAAGTCTAGGGGGCAACGGGCCGCACTTTGCAGCCTGTGAGTATTACCATTAGCCGCAGAGGTGTGCTAAGCCGTTAAGCACCATCTTCGGTCTTGCTCCCGTCATCCATGGTTGCAAAACCACTTCAGTGGATTCAGGATTGTTCCTTCGCCTGCTGCGGCAGCAGGACCCGAGACTTCAATCCCTGAAGCGTGCGCCCCCGAAACTGTTGTCGCCGTGTACATATGTTGTTTGTTACCGTTGTTTCTGCTATTACTCAAACAACTACTACGACTATAACTCACTATTTTTGTTGTTATCTTAGATAAGGATCACTGTTTTCTACTTCTTGTGCACACCCCTTTCCTAGTCCATCCAATGCGCAGCATCCGGGCAGAGTTGTTTTTGCTCAAGCTTCGGGTTTGAACCCATCGTTTGCAGCGTTGACCCGTATACCAAGCAATACCCCGCTTACCCGAACTCAAACCCGGTAGCTTTTACAGCCATCACGTCCCGAAAAGCGCTAAACTAGATACATCTAAGCTCTAGGTCAGACATCGACGTAGATATGTGAGCAAAAGGAATGGATGAAACCGTCCGTTCCTACTGCATCGGTCGAACACATGCGCCTAGTTTAGCACCAGGACACCAGAAGTCATGCAACGGAGAGAGCTAGCAATATGCAGAAAAGCAAAAGCCGCACAACCTAGGGTGTCTGCAGCTTCCAGACCTTCAATCTGCGATCCGGCAACCTCCCAAGCCCCGAATCCTTCCAGCCGTAGGGCTTACCTGCTTGTCCGATGGCAGCTGCGCCACACGTGCGGCCAAAGCCATGGCCAAGGACTGCACGACTTTGCGTGGGGTGGTTTGGGGTATGCATGTACGTATTTCTGCACACACACTCACACATATATATATATATATATAGTGCGTGAGGGTTTGGTATCGAAGATACGCTATATGCTCACCTCACCGAGCTTGTTGTTGTTGTTGGGTATTGCCAATGTTGAACTCAAACTCGCACAGCAGTGACGCGAAGCGATCCCCTCTTTTGCTCTCGTCTGGCCGGACGAAGTGTCTTTGCAGTCGGGAATGGCTCAGTCCTCTACGTTGTCGAATAAGCAGTAAG